ATAACCTCTATTAAGAATCAAAATGACCAGATGGAAGTTAGCGTAGAACATTCTTTTTTTTTAATTAAACTTTTTTAATTAAAGTTGCGTGCGACATCAAACAGAGTGGACGTGTTATCGGTTGTAATTACAAAAATAATAAAATACGCTTATACGAACTTGATTCTTAAGTTAATTAAGTGCATAAAGTAAATCGGCATACACTGCCCTACGCTATTGTAACATTGCACTGTTGAGTACGCCGCGAGTGAATATACTTGCCACGGATCAATATGATGCCAATACGCTCACCTACTAGAAGCGGTATAGGCTCTGGACTTAGTGGTTCACAACCTAATTTATTTACGGGAGATTCAGCCACAGACGTTTCTACGGCAACGCAAGTTGCATTTCGTAGCAAGCGCAAACATACTAGTGACCAGGATATTAAAGATGAACTGAGTGAAATACGAAAGGGAATGGCAGAAATGATGCAAATTTTAACATCGATTAACAAGACTCAAACAGAAACTATAAACAAGATATCGGAAGATGTCAGTTTACTAAAGGAACATGTAAAAGATCTTAAGATCGAGATGGATAGTCTTCGATTCATAAATGAAAAAATGAAGCGTAACATAGATAACTTGATCAGTAAATATAATGAAAATGACAAACAAATGGGAAAGTTAGACTCTGAAATTAAAAACCTCCAAAGTACAAAACTAATAGCTCCAGTTACCACAACAACTATTAGTAACACAATAGAAGAAACTGTAATGTCAGAACTTTCCGATCGATTGGTTAGAAGCAAAAACATAATAATAACTGGATTAATGGAAACAAAAACATCTGATTACAAAGAAAGAAAAGAGACTGAAAAGAGAGAAGTACTTAGTTTATTAAGAAAGATCTCCAATGATTGTACGGAACCAAAAAGTATTACACGCCTGGGAAAGTATGCGCCAGATAAACAAAGGCCACTCAAAGTGTGTTTCTCAACATCAGAAGAAGCTGTTTTTGTATTAGGTTCTAAAAGTAATGAAAAACTGAATCCCATTAAAATTTTCCCAGATCAAACGCCTCGACAACAATCTTATTACAAAAAACTAAAAGAAGAGTTGAAATATCGAAAGGACAATGGAGAGATAAACCTAACTATCAAATACAATAAAGGTATACCTAAAATAGTTGAAATTGCGCCAAAAAACTAACAAAATTTCATGATAGTCAAATCCCAACCTTTAAAACTATCTCTCACCAACTTGCTTCTCAGTATGAGAATATTATAATGACAAAAGACTCCTTAAAATGTTTTATATCAATGCACGCAGTATAGTTAAAGCAGGCAAATTTGAAGAGCTTAAATGTATTTTGAAATCTTTTCAATTTACAATACATTTAATTTTAATTACGGAAACTTGGATAAAGTGTGAAGAGGAAGCTAAACGATTTCAAATATGTGGTTATACTCATTACTATAACGTAAGACCCAGTAGCAGAGGTGGTGGAGTATCAATCTTCGCTCACAACAACTTGAAACATAATCTTATAGAAGAACAATGTCTTGATGATAATCATTATCTATGGATTCACGTTGACAAGTGTTCGCTGGATGTGGGTGTAATCTACAGAAAGCCCGACAACAGCAATATTAATAAATTCATAGAAACAACCAACAAAATTAGAATCGCGCAGAAGGGCAGTGGTATTTGGTGACTACAATATAGATCTATCATCCCATGAACGTAATACTTCTATGTATATGGAAATGCTGGAACAGTGTGGCTACAAATTGTTAAATAAAATTGATTCAAAATACTCTACCCGTGTAACTCCTTCTTCGAATACTGTTATTGATCACGTTAGCACGAGTCTCAAAGAACATCAATTTCACCTTGCTATAATAGAATCATCTATGTCTGATCATAGACAGATCTATTTTGAGATCAAGAAGTATAAGCAAGATGTTTTATCAAAATATGAATATAAAGCAATAAACTATTTTATGTACTAGATTATGTAAAACTGGAAGAAAAAATTCTATCTAGCATAAATAAAAGCAAAAACACTAAGATCAAAGTTCTCAATCTACCACGAAGGGATTGGATTAATAAAGATATCTTAAACGAAATAAACGCAAGAAATAAATTATGGCATAAATATAAAACTAATTCAAGTAATGAAAGTACAAGAGATAATTTCGTGAAGAAAAGAAGTGAAGTAAGCAATCTAATACAAAAAACTAAAAGCAAATACTATTATAAGGCGTTTATAGATTGTAAACACAAACCAGCAAAAATGTGGAAACTAATTAATAATCTATCTAATAATAAGATCAAAGAAACTACTGCTCCGAATAAACTAGTCACGCACGAGGGTTATATTATTAGTGATAGTAGAGCTATCTGTGAATGTTTTAATGATTTTTTTTCGAATATCGGTTCGATCCTGGCAAATCAGATATCTAAAGTTAACCAAACAGTATTAGACAAAATAACTAACAAAACTGGAAGTGATGCTGTTTTCTATTGGACACCTGCAATTATACACGAGATCAGTAAAATTATAGACGACTTAAATCCTAACACTAGTGCTGGATTAGACGGGGTAACTACAAAATCTATAAAATGCATCAAGGACATATTTGTTGAAGAGTTTGTAAATTGCATTAATAACTGCTTTGAACAAGGCGTATTTCCAGACAGTTTAAAAGTTGCAAAAGTAACTCCGATATATAAAACAGGAACTAAATCAGATCCCGGAAATTACAGACCAATCTCAGTTTTATCAGTACTATCTAAAGTTTTCGAACGTGCGTTATACAATCGTCTTGCATACTACTTAAATTCTAAAAAAATACTATACGATAAACAATACGGTTTTAGACCGGAATCGAATACTCTTTCGGCAACATTATATTTAGTCGCAAAAATCAAAGTTAGCATAGACAAAAAACAATTAGCACTAGGTATTTTTATAGACCTTAAGAAAGCGTTTGATACGGTTAGTCATGAACTGTTACTGAGTAAATTAAAATATATTGGTATCTCTGGTTCTGCTTTGGATATTTTTGCATCATTCTTATCCAATAGATATCAAGTTGTAAAAATTGGTTCTAATCAAAGCAAACCAAAATTAATAACTTTTGGAGTACCCCAAGGTTCTATATTAGGGCCGTTGCTTTTTCTGACTTATATCAATAATATTAAGGGTATAAGATTAAAAGGTAACATAACGTTATATGCAGACGACACATGTTTGTTTTACTACGGATATTCGATTGATGTATTGATTGCCGATGCTCAATCAGATCTTAATATATTGAATACTTGGTTTCAATCTAACCATCTTACTATAAATATTACCAAAACACACTACGTAATTTTTACATCAAAAAATAAAAAAATTGGTAACTATCAGCCTTTGACAATAAATAGTGAACTAATTTCTAAGGTAGATCATGACAAATACCTTGGTCTGTTGTTGGATAACCATATGACATTTAAGTCTCATCATCATCATCATTACAGCCCTTCACAAGTCCACTGCTGAACATAGGCCTCCCCCAAAGAATGCCACAAAGCACGGTCCTGAGCCACCTGCATCCATCGACTTCCTGCATGTCTTACCAGGTCGTCACTCCATCTCGTGGGGGGCCGCCCTACACTTCGCCTACCGGTACGAGGCTGCCACTCGAGAACCTTTCTTCCCCATCGGTTGTCGGTTCTTCGAGCTATATGGCCGGCCCACTGCCACTTCAGCTTACTAATCCGTTGGGCTATGTCGGTCACTCTGGTTCTACTGCGGATATCCTCATTCCTAAGTTTATCACGCAGAGAAACTCCGAGCATAGCCCTCTCCATAGCTCGCTGAGCGACCTTGAGCTTCCTCATACGGCCAGCAGTGAAGGACCACGTCTCAGTTCCGTAAGTCATCACTGGCAACCAGTGGGTGGTTGTACAATTTCGTTTTAAGGTTTTGAGGTATGTCTGACGAGAAGATGTGTCGTAGCTTCCCGAACGCTGCCCAGCCGAGTTGAATCCGTCGATTGACCTCTCGGTCGAAGTTGGACTTACCTAGTCGGACTATTTGTCCCAGGTAAACATACTCGTCAACAACTTCGAGCTTAGTGCTCCCAACAACTACCGGCATAGGTGTGACATGGACATTAAACATGATCTTTGTTTTGTCCATGTTCATCTTAAGACCTATCCGTTGGGAAACACTATTGAGGTCATTGAGCATAGTGCTTAGGTCCTCCAGCGATTCTGCCATAAGGACTATATCGTCGGCAAATCGAAGGTGAGTGATGTACTCGCCATTGATGTTGATTAAGTCTCATATAAATAAAATTAAATCTAAATTGGTTTCTCTTACTGGTGCACTGCGAAATATAGTGAAATGTTTCCCACGTGACGTGCGTTACACTATTTATAATTAGTTAGTCAAACCACACATTGAATACCTATATAATAAATGCTCCAGCAGAATCTGAAATTGCTCCACCTCTATTGTTATTAGTTAATTTAAAATTAATTTAAAAAAAATTTAAGTATCGAAAATTTAATTTTGGTATAAAATATAAAATATCTGCTTTTTAAAATTAAACTGTATGCCAATTAATTGCTCCTTAAATGCTCCAGTAGAACCCGTAATTTTTCTGTCTATTGCTATTAGTTAATTTATAATTAATTTTGAGATAGAGTGATCCTATTTGAGTAATAGCGCCATTATCAATATAATGTATTAACATTCTATAGTTAAAGTCATTTTATCGAACAAAAATTGATTGACTCTCAAGGTGGTACGTAGAATATATGCCTAATGGCATAAAACGTTGTCAAGCTTGAAGACGGAATGCCTCTCTGATTTTCTGCACTCACTTTACGAAAAGCAGCAGCATTATGCTGCTATTTTACGCCCGTAATCCCCGAGTGTGTGGTCGTTTCCCATTGCAACCGACCGGTTCGCAGATTGTAATAATGCAAGTTAGGGTAAAAATAAAATAAAAGATCTTGATGTGTACAATTTATTTATTAATTAAAATTGGTTTTATGTGTAGGTACAGAAATACAGCGGTAACGAGAATATATTATTGCCCGTAGCCGATTACATAGGAATATTACGATACACCAATATTCGTGTTAGCACCATTTTTTTTTTGTTTTTTATTTTTTTTTACAAACATACCACATAACCTTAGATAGCTATCAATGTGAAATAACAAAAGTTTATGGTCTTTTTAACATTCTTCATATACGTAAACTAATGCTTAAATAATATTAGCTTTATTATTTGATATTATATTGATCACACAACATTCTATAACTAATTGAAAGAACTTACAATATTCACTGACGAAGTGTGTCGCAGGTTTCCAACTTACCCGACATAATATACAGAGTTCGAAAGTATGGGAGCTGGAAACGTAACACACGATAATTTGGTCCGGCTTCAACAATATCAAGTTAATATTTTGTTAATAATTTAAACGAAGTCTCCACATGATACAGTCTTTGGTTAGGACAGAGAAGATCGGAAACAACGAACTTAAATTTAAAATAATATCACAAGCATAAACAAAATAATTCCACATAAGACATCAGTCAAACCTTATATGTTGATAAAATAACTGTTAAATTCAAAAGACATCTGCGTGTGGAACTCAATATTCTACAATGGGTACGTATAATAGCATTTTAAAAACAATCTACAACGCTTTCATTATTAGATAAATTTACAGTATATACTCGGTAATTTGAAAAAGAAGCGAAGGTTTAAAAAAGGAAGCCTTATGCAAAGCTATTTAAAAAAGGCAAGTCTTAATCAAACTGGTAAAAATTACCATCACTGGGACAGTAAAGACAAAGTGTTAGCCTTAAATGATGGCAAAAGACTAAGTTAGAATTGACAAAGGATACAATGCACGAAGTACTATGCGAAGGTCGTACAGTAATGTACATCGTTAATTTGTCCACAACTATTTATTTTACACGTACAGTTTAATACTTCCGAGGCATATCTCGCTCATAAAACTATAATAATGCACCTTAAACTAAGTAATTAAATACATTTCCATTAATGTGTCTTTGTGTAAGCGAAATGTTGGCTGATACTATGATAAGCTACATAAAAGTTGCGTTAAATATACGTCGACATTAAACGAAATGGTTAGTTTTATACTAATGTCCAACCAACACAAATATTAATCACTTTACGCAAAAATACTTCGCTGGCCTGTGTGCAGTCCTGAGCATAACTCGACAAATGTCTCTCTAAAACGTAGCTCAGAAAATCAACAAGAATTTCAGAATCCATAGTTGAACCAACATTTGGCTCCAAACGACTTAAGATCGATATGTACAATCAATTACTGTCAATGTGTCCTTTAATAATTAAAAGCAATTTTACCTCGACATAATAATTGCCTTGCACATATTGACCTTATATACCTTAATGATAAAAATATTTTTTTTATAGCCAAATACAACGAAAATGTACAACCAATACAACACAAAGGCACGCTTAATGAGCTTATGGCCAGTTTACGCCTACTACGTTTTAGTTACATCGACATTAGACAACTAACGCGACACTACTAACATCACAACAGAAAAAGTCAAACGAAACCAAACACTCGATAAGAAATGCTTGTAACTTTTGTATACTAAATAACTAACCTATAGGCGCAACAACTACATTAGAAACCACTACCCTTCCTCTAATGCAATATTTCTGGAGTCGTACAAATCACTTTAAAAGTAAAAAACTTAAGGAACTTCCGTAACAATTACAACAGTTAATTACCGTTGTAATCGAATGACACGACTGAACAGTATCTGTTTAATTAAGGTTACAACGATAAGTTTATATAGTGTACTCTTCTAAATATGATAATATTTATAACATTTTATTAGCGGATCATGCAGTCGTCCTTCTTAGGCTTACTACTTGTATACATCTAGATTTTCTATGCATTGAATAATTATCTTATTGTCTAAGATACATAACTACTGTTATGTCAACAATAATTAAAAGTAACAAAACATTAGATGATTTAGATATGTTAGCTGTTCAGAAAGGTCTATTACGCAAGTTGTCAGTAGAATTTTATCTATGATTATGCATATAAGATATTAAAGACCTTAGGTCATTATATTTTCTAGATATTTATACAAAAAAAATGTATAAAACCTACACGAAAGTTACACTTCCTAAAACTTTTCTTTATTAAAAATAATTGCGTACTATGTAAGCCACAAAATTCTTTATATAGCATTGTTTGGAAAAGCTAAATTGGTAAATCGAGTTATTATAAGGAGTGAGTGTAAGAAGTGTTTGTGTTAGTTAAATAACTTTAATATGTGTGAGTGCATTTAAATACATGTGACTTATGATTTGATTATCCTAGTATAGTCCTCCTTATATTATATAGTATCTGTTATATAGACGGGGCTTAGAACATAAACGTCAAGTTCTACTGACCAAAGATTTTTACACGATTACACGTGATACAATGAGACATATTACATCATCATGTATAAGTGCAATTATCTGTTATTATTATCGTACAATGCAACGTCTCTTTGCGTTATCATTTTTGCCAATGCTATGTAGCTTTATCTTGTCATTTTTGCGACTATACGCTACACAATTTAAAAGACATATTACAGCATCACGTGTAAGTATACCTATCTGATGTTATCATTGCACAATGCTGCGTCTCTGTGTTTTTGTTGGCCATTTTGTCAACTCTAACACCACGGAAGAAGTATTCTGTAGCACGAGTAGAGCGGTACAGTGTACTCACCGCGCAGAGGGGGCAGAGGGGTCAGAGGGGGCAGAGCGGGCGCGCTACTTAGAGGAAGGGTAGTAGTAGAGCACCGCGCAGCCGGGCAGCTGCCAGCGCGAGGCGTGCAGCTCGATGAGCTGCAGCAGCGTGCGGCGGATGGACGGCGCGGCGGCCGGGTTGAGGAACGCGTCGCGCACCGCCGCCAGCAGCCGCTCCAGCTCGCCCGGCAGCTGCGCCTCCAGGTCGCGCCCGATGTACGTCAGCACGAAGAACAGGTTCTCCGTCTGCGACAACACCGTTTCATTGCTACTTTACATTTAAATCAATAAACAAAACTATTATAATTATTCTTTTTGTAACAACATTTTTATATTATACAAATAAGTCATTTGGATTAAAAAATGCACCTCGTACGTTTCAAATATTAATATTTCGTATTTTTATTAATTTTTTTTTGTTTGATTAGAATATTGAATCTTGTATCACGGTATGACATACATTGGAAATACCCAATGAAATCTAAACAACAATTTATTGCAAACACTGATATTATAAAGTTACTATTACAATTTAATGAATCAAAACTGCATCTTAAAATAGTCAAGTTTTTAAAAAAGTAAGATCTGTTTTAAGCAATATTATCGATTAAACTCCAGTAATTTTTCTATTAATAGTTGTAAATTCTAAACACTAGAACAATAAATTACTTTTGGATGGAATGACCATCGCATCGCATTTCGAACTAACATATGATTTTGTCGACAACAGCATTTGTTCACATTTCCTTAGGTTCTTTTAAAGAAGACATAACGCTTCTAAAATTATTACTGGCTTATTGTGTTTATTATAATCGCTCTCGTGGATATTCTTATACCGCTGCTACAAGGCACTTTGAGCATTATATTTTCGAAATAATTTCAATATTTTTTTAAATTTTGAAATGTATTATGGGACTGTTTTGATTTTAGGACTTATTGCAAAAACTATATGAGGAAACATGTATTTTGGTGTTTTCGATGTTGTTTTTTTTAAAGAAAAAGCTTAACTACAAGCAAGTAAGGCCAACTAATAGACCAAAAGTTTTTAAGTACTCCAATATTATTTTATGGGAAATTCCTAAGAAACTTAGCGTTTGCTTAACGATTACATCATGGGTGATACGGGGATATAACACGTTTTACAGATAATCACAAATCCTAAGATTAGATTTGGGTTTGATCTCGCCCCAGGAAGAATAATTAAAGAGGCATTTCCTATAATATATGGGCCTATGTTCAACAGTGAAGTTTAGGGCAATAGGCTGGAGCGGAGTTGAGTCCGAATGGCTAGGCAGGATGTGTATGTAGGAGTAGTGAGGAAGAGGCTCACGTCTGAGGGCGAGGGCACGGGCTGGCGGATGCAGTCCTCGCAGCACTTGGCGATGAGCGTGAGCAGCACGTGGCCGGGCTGCGCGCTGGCGCCGCGGCGCTGGATGGCGCGGCGCCGCAGCTGGCAGTACATCTCCAGCAGGAACGACAGGAACGCCATCAGCCGCGGCCGCCCGCCGCCCACCACCGCGCCCAGCAGCTGCACACACACACCACACCACACGTGCTTCACTCAACAAATATCTACTACGTGCGCAAGTATGTTATACTTCACTGACATATATTTAATATTATTAGCGACCCGCCACAAATTATTAATAGCTTATATTGATGTCACATTAAGTATAAGTATATATAATTTACACATAATGTGTAACAAATTAACCCGAATAATAATAACGTAACATAAGGTGTTATTGCTTCCGATAGATAGCAATAAAACCATCTCCCCAATTTACTTGTCTACGCCAGACTACAGAATAAGTAATGTCCAGCGCAGATTGGCCGCCGTGACCAAAATTCGATCTGGATGACATTATTGTCATATCCTATAATAATATTTCACGACAACCTCGGAACAAAATACGCTACAGGACCGCGGGTTCAAATCCCGCATGGAACATGTATTTACATGATCTACAAATAATCGTTCCCGATCTGTAATGTGTGTTCTTATGCTATTCCTCAGCCTCCACGATACAGGAAAAAATCTTACAATGGGGGTTGTACTGAAGTTACACTTCTTTAATGTTTGACTACTCGCCGATGTTATAATAGTCTACATAATTATTATTTATTTGATAGATCACGCACGCTAGCTAAATCAAATTTTATCGCTGCACACTGTGTCGCTGTGTCCGTTTGGCTTCGCATTTTTTTCCCTTCTTACTTCACGAACGATATTCTGTGGTTATTCTGTGGTTTCTGTGTTAAATCCTAGGCTTTCAACAAAAAGTAAAAAAAAAAACACAATACGTTTAGTATCTTTTACATATTTATTCCATTTACAACTGTTTTACTTTAATATAATGTCTTATATTTTTTATTCTTTTATCTATAAAATAACGGTTTCTATATTTAGGAGTGGAAAACTATTGCCTGAGTTAATTAAATTATTTAATAGAAAGGTAAACATGGACACGGGGTGATGAAGTTAATATTCTTTAACAATTGCAGTAAATTATTTGATGGTTTTTTTTTTCATTATTATTTTTTCAAATTTTTATAATGAATTAATTTTCTATAACATACATATAGATTAATCTCAAACTTATACAACTAATTTATTCTATAAAGTAATATACTAAACAATAAACAAAACATAAACAAGTATTTACAAAAATTCTTTTTACGTAAACTGTTAAAAAACTGAAATTCACTAGAACATCACTCGCTTAAAACGCGATAGCACTGACTGCGTAAACATGAGGTTTCGCGCGATTTTAGGCTTTTACGTCGCGCAACTAGCAAGAGTGACAGCCCTCTGGCTAAACAAACTACCCAGATCAGCAACGCGGAGAAAAGGCCATTTATTTTATAAATTTTTCATTTTTAATACTAAATCAAATTTAAGAAATACCTTTAGACGTTAATCATTCCGCAATAAGTTTGTCCAAGCCTACTCATACGATTTAAAATAAATTTTGACGTATATCCAAAGAATTATGAAGTCACGAATTCAAAATCGAATCTTTCAAACAAAGCAAATTATAAAAAAAACAACCAGAATCAACATTTTTGCTTGACGTTGCGTTTTTTCAATGATATATCCTTATCCACCTTACCGTAATGATTGAATTACTCAAATTCATGCTAAATCAAATAATCGGTAAAATATTCACATAATCGAACTTTTAAATTTATTAATTTATTATGTGTTTATTTAAATTTTTATTCGTCGAGCTGCATAAATTATATGAACCATGAATTAAACAAGTAATTTTTTTTGTAGTTTCTGTGAATACCATTGTGGCAAAGAGTCATTGAGAACCTTTGGAAAGGGAATTGGCTTATGGGTATTGACTATTGGCGATACAAAAAACTTGACAAACGCAAAATAATTATTTATAGAAATGAACGCAAAAAAACTTACTACACTGGTGATCGCTTACTGGGCGAAAGTGATGGAGGAAGAAAAGAAAATTGTTATGGACGACTGTCCATAACAATTTTCTTTAACTAAAAATAAATGTCTCTTTCATAGTCATAAAAGAGACATTTATTTTTAGTGCCTTATCGAAAATCAAATAATAATTAATATAAACATTGATGATAAAGACGACATCACAACTTGTTGTAGTGAAAGTGATTAAATAAATTTGATTTTAATCTAGTGCAGTCTTTAATTTATATAACTTTATCTCTAGAAATTAATTAGCAGTTATCTATGCCTACATACATACAAATAAATAAAATTTAGGTATCTGTTTGTAGTGTCAAGATAATAGTTTTTTACTAAATGCATATGAAAGTATAAGTATATAGAAGTATATACAATACTTATAACAAAAAGGCAATTTATAAAATTTTTGTCGGTCTGTTTGTTCTTCGAAATGGCTGGGTCAATTTTGACGGGCCTTTAATTCGTAGATAGTTGATATTATAAGGAGTAACTTAGGTTACTTTTATTTTAGAAAAAAAAAATAGTTTCACGCGGGCGAAGTCGCGGGTGGAACAGCTAGTCAATAAATATGAAAAAAACTGATAAATTTTATGTTTTGAGTTATTTGTTTCTATATAAGATATAGGAATAAAATAAAAGATATAAGAATCGATATCGATATATCTTAAGAATCTTATATTGTAAATACCGATTTTTCAGTTGGAATACCTAGTCCAATAAATGTGACAGCTGTCGAAAGGTATTTCTTAGATTTGGTGGAGTATAATAAAAGCTCATAATACTTGACACTGCCAAAAGTATAACACCACAGTCCGAGTCTAGTACCATAGAAAATATCCATGTGCAAAATGTGCGTGAGTGCAAGTGCATTTGCCTTGTCGCAGTGTACTTCCTCATGAACGCTACGTGTGTGTAGGTCGGTATGCGTGTGGCGTGTGAGCGTGCGCGGGTACCTTGTCGCGGTCGTGGTAGCACTGCTGGCAGGTGTTGAGCAGCGACTCGAGGAAGGTCTCGGCGTGCTCGCGCTCGACGACGGCGATGCAGCGGCGCGCGGCCGGCAGCGCGTAGCGCGGCGACTCCACCGCGCGCGCCACCAGGTGCCCCACCGCCTCCATCAGCGTGCGCGCCGCCACCGAGTTCGGATCTATCGGGTTCAACGACAACTCGATCAGCGTCTTACGTTTCCTTTGGGCTCATTCCGGGAAAACATATTTTGCATTTTTTTTTCTAGATGTTATTTTGCATAAAGTATGCAAGCAATCCGAGTTCGTTCCTCGTCGGCCCAAATAATAGTGTTATTTGCAGTTTTTAGTGGTGATTCCTGTCACGTGCTCGGCGGAAATTAAAAAAATATTTCGGAAGACGAAGTCCGCCAACTCGTATTTAGGCAGCGCGGTGGACATTTCCTTACCCTAAAACCCTCTCAGAAATTAGAGGACAACTGCGACCACGAGTGGAATGTGTATAGGATAGGCTGTACCTATACTTTAGACTACATGAGGAATAAAGATGAAAGTAGTAGTCTCTATCCAGTAAATGAAGTGTAGGAGGCCCTCTTGGCCGATTTCGATGGCAGCGGCAACTTACATAAAGTTTAGGAGGCTACCAACTACGCTGGGGATAAACGTGTACACACATGAAGCCGCACCACGCTAACGTTACTACATTTAAATGTACACTATGATTCTGAATCAGTGTCAGCTTGAACGCCTTTCACGAAGTTGGCTTCTGCGTTGATTTATTTTCAGTCTCCACTCGAATTTCGTTTGTTTTCATAAAAAAAGCCGGCATTACATTGTATCAGACTAGTTAGCGTTACACCGACATGAAAATAGTTTCTACTATAGCATATTTCTATGTCAATATATTCTCTAGTTTATAGACAAAAAAGCCGTAATAATTTTGCAAGCATGTTAAGTGTGCGACGCATATAGTAACACGAGTACTAATATAACAGTAAGCAGTTTTGAACGATAATTTTATTGATAATTCTCCAATCAACTGGTATGGCTAAATCGAAAATCTAAATGAAGGAACTTTAGACTTTTAGCTAAACTTACCGTCCAATGCCTTATCAATGCACTCCTGTATCTCTGGCGGGAATGTACCCAGGTCCCCGGCGTCCGCAGCGAGGCCGAGTGCAGCCATGCCACTGGCGAGCGTGTCTGCGGACGTCAGCGACTTGGAGCGCTTGAGGCCAGGCGTGAACGACTGCGGACGGATACTCTTGCCATTGCCGTTAGTCAGCGACGACGGCGGCGACTTTTTCTTCTCACCCAGTTGCTGCGGTTGAAGTTTGAAATGCACACGGGGGCCACTCTGTAAAATTACGATTTTGGCTTTATTAATGGAATACATTTATTTTATTAAAATTTTAGAAGTATATTTTAAAATAGTAAGCATACTATCCTAACGAAAAAACCTGCTGCGTGTAACATCGCAAGTTTAAAAATTCACAATAAAACTGTGAAATACATGTATATCTTTTACACAGGACATTTTAAATGTAACAACTCATTCAAAGAAAGCTTAGATATTACCAAAGTTACGCAAATGTATGAGCCTATGACCATGCAACAATATTATTATAATACAGAAGAGCTCCGTTGTAAAAAAGCATTCTGATAACATTCTGAACATCTCGCCCGTGTTTTCGTCAGATTTTACATCCGACACATGAGAATTGGTTAATATAATAGTACCCCCTATGATGAGAGATACAAAGCTTCCCTAGTAAAAAATTTCTCGAAGTGCTGGACGAACATGGGGTCTAAGGCATTGTTTTAAATATTTTATAGCTTAGACACGAGAGGCACTTAAATATCGGAAAATTTTTATGAAAAATTATGTTACAAATAATGGCTGGAGCGTAAGAGAATTTATTTTTTCTCCCAGGCACCTTCATTGATTGTCACAATTAAAATAACTAGACTTACAGGAAATATCGTCTAAAGATACTGTAATCCCATGACCGAGAGCAAATTCTCCTTTTTTATAGGATAGGGTAACAAACGAGCACACAAACACAGTCCACCTGATGGTAAGTGGTTGCTGTGACTCATAGACTCATCTTCTATCCTCGTTTGCAAATCAAAATGCAGATGCGATGTCAGCCGTGAGGACTAAGATGAAATGCCTCTTTTCCGGTTAAAAGGGTTTCCGGTTCTCTACACTCACCATACGAAACAGAGCAGTGTTAAGCTGCTGTTTTACGCTGATATTCTGTGAGAGCGTGGTCCTTCCCCGGTCGAGCCGATCCATTCGTATATATAGCTGCAACATGGCTCTACCACGTATAAATAGGCCACGTATAACTAATTTTAAATAGGCCATTTTTACCATGTAGTGGTGGGGTAAGAATATTCGCTAGTCCATATCGTTCCATGGGTACACTGTGAGGATTAAGATGGACTGCCTTACAGCCTCTAATTATACAGACTCTCTATACCCTTCAGAGCAGAACACAGCAGTACAGGCACTGTTACATGCCAGCAAAATAAGGTAAGAGGGTGGTACCTGCCCAGATTAGACTCCTAAACAGGAAAGGAGAAAGAAGGAGAATCTTTTCACCTAGTATAGGTACGTTTCCTGTCGCCAATTAAATTCTTCTGCAATTGCATTGCAATATTAAGTGTCGATTTACACGGTACAGGAAAACTAAATGCTGAAACGTCAATCTGTTTCTGTCAAATCTGTCAATATGTCAATACTATTCCTGTAATGTAGTGTTAGTCTAAGAGTCAGTGAGTGGTAGAATTACGGTATTTCAATAAGCTTCACGTATGTTTCAGTTAATCCCCTATACCTAAGGTACATGAAATGGGGACTCTTTAAGTCTGCCGCTTTGATATCTTGAAATATTCAATAAATGTTACTGAAAAATAACATTATATACATAATTTACGTTATTATATATGTTGTTGATAATATTATTTAACATATTATATATTTTGCATGGCAGACATAAATTGATGTTATATTACTCAAGCAGACAACGAACTTCAGTGGCGTCCATAAGCGTGTACTAACTGATACACACCTGAAACTTATTGGAAATACCGTAGGTCTGCCGCTTACTGGTTCTTAGACCATGTTGTAGCCCACACGACATAATTATATATTAGAGTTAAGTAAAGAATAAGGAGTAATTAAAGTCATAGAACACAGGCACACTGAACCTAAACGTTAAGTTGGAGAGGTCTCGTCTAATGAAGTCAACGCTCCGTCCCCCTCGTGCTCTGTTCCAAAGTCCCGAAACCTTTCAGCTCGAGTTACAAAACCGTTTTCAGTGCCTAGAAGACTGCAATGAAGTGGACGATTTGTTTTACGGCCTACGGCTGCTCCAGCAAGGATCAAATCCTCAGGGGCCCATTCAGCAGAAGACTTCACGAGCAGACGTAGGTCGGGCCTCAATATGGCCGCGTGGAATATGTTCTCACAATAAACTATTGACACGCAAATCAATCTAACTAAGATGCCCAATTACTTTCAAAGAATTTACTTAAACCGTAAAATCGCATAAAGGCCTCTGGTACGGGAACCTAAATCCTAGACCACCAAATCCGAGGCGGATTTCCCGAAACCCAATTACGTAGCGAAGCCGCGCCCAAACCCAAATTCTAGACCATAATCACTCGAAACCGGTCTCGCGCAACTTCCGCAGCGGTAGCCGAAACACTCGGCCTTACCGGGTCGCTGATCCTAAGCTACTCTCGTCACCACTGTCTCGCCCGACCGCCAAGACGCTGGGAAGCTCCCTTCCGCTGCCCCCTCTTCGACACACGCGTGACACCTGGTACGATCGGGCGATTGGCAAAGTCGAACGTGATTGGGTAACGTCCCAACATAACCAAATTTGGGCATAAACAATATGAATGACAAGCTTGTGGAAACTGTCCATGCGGTCGGAGCTAAGTTCTGCAAGACCCGCCGCAGAAGAACACAAAAAATCTCCGATCACACTCTTGATCTCATGGCTGTTAGACGGGAGATGAAGCTACATTCTTCAACAAATTTGACAGCATACAGGCAACTGAACAGACAGATCTCCAAATGCATGCGTCGGGACTTACGCAACTTCTATACATCTTGTATTGAAGAAGCGATCGAGCGGAACCAAGGCTCCAAAGTCTTTTCCAGAGATCTGTTTGCCAGAAAGAGCCAACTGTCAAAGCTGAAGACCGAGTGTGGCAGCATCGTTTCCGGGACACCTGAGATTTTGAGTGAGATTGAGAGGTTCTATGGACAGCTGTACATGGACGGCATCGTTGGAGTCACACGCAAGTGTGAGTAACGATCCAAGAGCGAGTCTTATCCGACACTATTCAGAAGATATCCCGGACGTCAGTTTAGACGTCAGATTAGAATGGCTCTCCAGTATCTTAAAAACGGCAAGGCCCCAGGCGAGGATGGAATTACAGCGGAGCTTCTGAAAGCGGGTGGAAAACCGGTACTGGAAGTCCTTCAGAGGCTCTTTAATTCCGTCTTCCGTGGTGGCATTACACCGGAGGCGTGGAGCAGAAGTGCGGTGGTCTTGTTTTTCAAGAATGGTGACAACAATGCTCTCTTGATGAACTACAGACCGATTTCCCTTCTGAGCCGCGTCTACGTGCTGTTTTCGAGAGTCATTACGAATCGTCTCGCACGCAGACTTGACGACTTCCAGCCTCCCGAACAAGCCGGTTTCCGAAAGTGCTTTAGCACCATAGACCACATACATACCCTTCGGCAAGTTGTGCAAAAGTCCGAGGAATACAATTTTCCACTATGCCTGGCGTATGTGGACTATGAAAAGCCTTTGATTCCGTCGAAATTTGGGCGGTGCTGCAGTCCCTTCAGCGGTGCCAAGTTGACTGTCGGTATATCGAAGTGCTGAAGTGCTTGTACAGTAGGGCTACGATGGCTATCCGAGTACAGAACCAGAGTACGAAACCTATCCAATTGCAGAGAGGTGTAAGACAGGGTGACGATATATCCCCGAAACTCTTCACTGCTGCATTGAAAGACGTTTTCCAGCTTCTGGACTGGAAAAGATACGGTATTAACATCAATGGCGAGTACATCACTCACCTTCGATTTGCCGACGATATAGTCCTTATGGCAGAATCGCTGGAAGCCCTAAGCACTATGCTCAATGACCTCAATATTGTCTCCCAACGGATAGGTCTTAAGATGAACATGGACAAAACAAAAATTATGTTTAATGCCCATGTCACACCTATGCCGGTAGTTGTTGGGAGCACTAAGCCCGAAGTTATTGACGAGTATGTTTACCTGGGACAAATAGTCCGACTAGGTAAGTCCAACTTCGACCGAGAGGTCAATCGACGGATTCAACTCAGCTGGGCAGCGTTCGGGAAGCTACGACACATCTTCGTCAGACATACCTCAAAACCTTAAAACGAAATTATACAAACAGTGCGTGTTGCCAGTGATGACTTACGGAACTGAGACGTGGTCCTTCACTGCTGGCCGTATGAGGAAGCTCAAGGTCGCTCAGCGAGCTATGGAGGGCTATGCTCGGAGTTTCTCCGCGTGATAAACTTAGGAATGAGGATATCTGCAGTAGAACCAGAGTAACCGACATAGCCCAACGGATTAGTAAGCTGAAGTGGCAGTGGGCCGGCCATATAGCTCGAAGAACCGACAACCGATGGGGAAGAAAGGTTCTTGAGTGGCAGCCTCGTACCGGTAGGCGAAGTGTAGGGCGACCCCCCACGAGATGGAGTGACGACCTGGTAAGACATGCAGGAAGTCGATGGATGCAGGTGGCTCAGGACCGTGCTTTGTGGCATTCCTTGGGGGAGGCCTATGTTCAGCAGTGGACTTATGAAAGGCTGTAATGATGATAATTATGATGATGAAAGTCATAGCACCAACAACACTCCTCTCTCTCTCTCCCTCTCAAAGACACCCTTTCCTACAACATTACATGGCGACCCTGCCAGGACACTCCTCATTATAAACTTAACTCTAATTTATAATTCCGTCGTGTGGGCTAAAAACATTATATTACATCTAATGGTAACACTGACCGTGGCGTGCGGCACATTGCCGCTGGAGGTGCTGTTGAGCAGTGCGTGTGGCGGCAGCACGGGCCGGTAGTGCGGTGGCACCTGTGCGTGCAGCACCGCGGACCGCGAGTGTTGCAAGCCCACGCCCGCGTACCCCATGCCCATCGCTGACCTGCAATACGTAGCACACAAGTTACGCACCTACATAAAATTATTTAAATAGTAACTTTCAAAATTGGTCATCGCAGAGTCTATTTCACCTGATGGTGCCTCGATTAGAGGGGAAACATATGTATCTTCCTAGTGTAGTGGTGTTGGGTGAAGTGGTGACAGGAATAGTTAGTGCGGTTTGAGGGAGGACGGGAGGTGCTCATCAAATTAAGTAAGACACATAATTTATATTTTAGTTTTTACGCAGACCTTTACTAATTTATCCTTCACATTTTATTTTAAATAGTTTAATCAAGGACGGAAAAAAATAAACTTTCACAGCCTATATACTTGCTACCCCTGGGCCTTCCCTTAGCCCACTCCTTCTGTTATTTATGAGAAGGTTCGGGAGTCAAGGATGTTATCATTGAAAAATCAGTGTAATAGTAGAAGTAAGCAATTTGTTATCCATATTTCTACTCACTGGACAATTACGTGTCTGGGCGGTTCTCACCACTCAAATCGATCTAAAGACAACAGTTATACCGTCAGAGTAGTGTAGTATATCTTTTTCGGAGGGCTTTTATAACGCATACATATATACAAGTAGGACGTCGTACTTAAGTCTCAACGATCAGACACATACTGTTCATCATCATCGGTCACCCTTTTTAAAGAAGCTCTGAAAGCGTCTCCGACCTACGAGCACTAACATCGCCAAAAACACTGGGCCGTTACAACTTACAACCTTAACGGCCCAGAAACCCCTTGCTGAAAAACAAAATGATGGACTATAAATATTGCGTTTTCCAATCAGGGACGCATGTCATATTTACTAATATACTGACAAAAGTATAGATACATAACATGATGTTCACTTACATATTACATATACACAACAAAGTATAATTACACAGACAAATACTGAATCATCTACATATTTATGCAACCGTGAACGATGAGTTACGAGTGCCGAACGCCTATAACTATTTGACACGATAACATCGATCGACATGTTAAATGCGACTTAATATGCTGGAGGGCATAGATTAATGATAAGTCATCGCGATCTATGGAGGGTAAAAGTGCAATTATTGCAGTTTCCTAAAATATCCGACAGCAGTATACTCGAAGCAAATCAAAGCCAAATATGACTGTTCGTTGTTATGGTACAGGAGGATGCTGTACATAACAACTAACAGTCATATTTGACTACGGAAGTTACAAAGATAATGAGTAACTTGCATAAATAGATGATCCTTCCCCCCCCCCCCCCAAAAGAAACTTCGAGATTCGCTCCACCTTCTCGTTGAACGAAATTAATAAGGTGGACATGCCATGTAATGAGCTTCATTTGCACCTTAACCTACTGTCGCTGATATTACAAGATAGGTACAATATTGTATTAGACGCATCGGGTGAATATCATCCTGGCCCCTAGTTAGACGGTGCCGTTTAGTAAAAAGGCAAGTCTGTTAACTGAAAAGCTAATTAAGCTAGTTGACTGCCACATATGCATAAAATTACAGAATCTATGTACATCATTTATGTCATTAGTATCAGTTTGGTCATTGGTATTCTAAATAATTTTAAGACAACGTTTGCCAATTTAACATGTCTAATGATGACAACGAACTATTTTCATAGTAATGTGCTTATTATTCATCCATTTTATGCTGATTTATTCATGAGCCGGACACAATACTAGCTACTACCCATACACATCTACAGGATCTTTTGAATCGTTAATTCTGCGAAGGTCTATGTATGTATGTTGACTGCTCAATTATAAATGATCTAACGAACTTCCGCGATATGAAGTTCGATCATTATTATATGAATAGCTTCACTCGAAGATATGAATTTTCAGACTTACAATTAACTAATTTAAAGTTAACTTCCGATCCACCCCTTCCCTTCACCACCGTCTAGATAGTTGTTCATTTATTACAGAAATGTAATTATAATTATATATTCTTTAATTGGGCAAGTCGAGACTAAAAAGCATAATTTTCAACAATAATTACTTTTAATCTATGTCAGATTAAAATTGTTCTAAACTAGCTGATACCCGGCGCGTTGCTGCCACAGAAGAAATAATTGTGGAAATATCGTTTTAAATTTGGAAGAGTTATATTCTTTGATTAGGAATGGTAATACAATCATCGAAATTAAATTATCTATAACTTTCAAATAAATTGTTAGCACGATACGCACGCCACCTAGTACAAGTTAATTCTACTATGCATCTAACCTGCGCGCAAGTGCAAGCAATAAGTTGACAAAGTTTTATCGCAATCTGATAAACGGTATGGCAGCGCATAAAGTACGAACAAACAAATATAATTTTTTATATATTACAATTAAAATCATTATATTTATTTACAAGAATATCAAAAGTTATTGTGGTGCAAATACATTTCCATAATACATATTTTAATTCATCCATTTAATACATATTATTTGTCATTTTACATGCCAAACTTGCGTTCATCAATTAATATATAACTATAACTAATTATCCATAATACAATGTACCTAAACAACCTTCGACGACTGGCATTCACACACGACCAAGATTATTATCAATAGGGACTGTCTAATGCCGATCACATATTGTTTATCCAGATTTGGGCATGGAACCCTGCACGGCGCATTGTTACATACGATTTTATTAGTCGGTATATATCGGAAGCGTCGGACTCGATGACTCAATTATCCATGGTGATTGTATTCAGGCGTTGGTCTAATAATAAACTAAGCATTTAGTATAATATCATAACTTTCAAACGAATATTTTCATATTATTATGAAGAGCCGTGGTATCTCAGATGGTTAGCGCTCGCTGTAAGTTTCACAGTACGCGAGCAACCCGGGTGCGATCCCCGCCGACACCAATGAAAATTAAGTGCTGATTTACCACGTGATCGACGGCAAAGAAAAACATCGTGAAGAAAACTTGCATGTATGAGAAATAAAAAATAAAATTAAAAAATTTTGTACAGCCGACTTCAATATGTATTAATTAAGAATTACTTAAAAACTATTGGTCAGACCTTGATCAAATTTATATGGGACCACATGAGAAGCACCAGCTTTCAAATAAAAAAGAATCATTGAAATCGGTTCACCCAAAAAAAGTTATGAGGTAACACATAAATATACAGTCGAATTGAATACCTCCTCCTTTTTGAGTCGGTAGAAAATTGTGGCTAGATAAGATGCTACTGTATCTGTTATAGATGCAATAACTTTAACGGAGATCCCCCATAAGTCTGGCGTTTCCTTAACATCAATAATTTTAAAATATTTAACGATATCTTTTGGCAATCCTCTACAGAATTTAAAAGTATTTGAACAAGTCTTTACATTTTGTTTGAGCAATGATTCGGCGACAGTAGGAGAAGAATTTAATGATTTTGTTGTCAAAAAAGGAACAGCAGTAAAATGTTTCTCAAAAACCATAGGAACTTCTTGATCAGATTGAGTTAAATTATTGTTAATATTCGATTGAAAATCCGAGTTGCGTAGTTTTACATTGCCCGTTTCCCTATTAATAATTAATCATCAGTCATTTTAATTTTATCGGATGCAGTTTTAATTTTGTTTAAGCCTTAACTGTGGAGCATACTTCTTTTTTATTTAAGAATATGTTTTTACATACTCTCTAAATATAACAGTACTTATGATTATATATATATGATTATATATATATACGTATAACTTTCGCCTACTTTTATAAATTCCTACTGTCGCCCATTCATTAAATGATTTGCGACTGTTTATAGAGAAAATTTTAGAAGTAAATATTCTATTAAATTCAAAAGTTATAATTTTAAATAATGCACCATACAAATAATCAGCACTATTTTAAATGAAAGTGATGGAAGTACTTTTACTATGTTACTTCTAAATCCTTCCAAATGATATTCATTTATTGGAACAAACACAACTTTCTCATTTTTCTGTTTTTTGTGTATGTAAGACAATGAAACCAACTGTCCACAGTGGTCTGAACTTAAATTTTGAATGATTGATTTATGCATCTGTAAAAATGTTATCTATACAGGTCGCACTAGGCGCAGCAATACGTGTCGGTTCTAACGATAAATTAACAAGATTATACGATTTAAATAATGAGCTAAACTTAATACTAATGGAAGAAATTTCAAGTATATTGATGTTAAAGTCTCCAAATATTACTACAGACTTGTTCTGTTTACTAAGTTTGAGCATAACTTCTTCCACAATCTTTTCAAAATATTCGTAAGTAGCACATGGGGGTCTGTTAACACTTAAAACAATGAGGTGCTCGAGCTCGACACAAGCCATTTCTACAGTTCGCTCAATAGAGAGGCTCACAATATCCTTACATTATTTATATAATAATGATTTATCAGCTAATTTTAAAGAACCACCATGTAAACTTTTTTCTCTATTGAAGGAACTGACCACCTGGTAAATTCTGAAATTAAACATTAAATTATAATCTTTTAGCCAATGTTCTACTCAATGCAACTTCCAATTCTTTGCCCATCATGCCTTGTAAGTTTGATGCACCAGGTGTAAACAATGTTTATTACTTATTTGTGGGCTGTATTAAAAATTAATTAAATTCTTATTATTGCTAGAGATTGCCTCTATTGTCGGATTCACTAATTTAAATTAGTCTGATTCTAAATTAAATGTCAAATGATTATACTGCTCAATAGGTGCAGTCTTGGTAGCTAAATTAACCCTTTCGCTGTTCCGTGCACTACACATAGGTCATTGCTATTGTCTTACTATTGTGTCTGAAAACCGGACAGTGAAAGTGTTAAAATGTAAATAATAAGATTATTAAATTAAAATGTAAGAATAAGATAGCACATTTGCTACCAGTCTTAAATTATATTTGGATAGGTAATACCTATTTTTTGTCCAAAACTTCTTAATTAATATTTATTTCAATTAAATGAAATTTGTCATTATCATCTTTACAATTATATGTCAAATTTAAATTATTAATACATATAAAACTTT